TGTAGTTCTGGGCTGATTCCTCACCGTTCTCATGATCATTGCAACTCCACGAGGTGAGATCTTGCATGGAGCCCCAGGCCGAGGAAGATTGACAGTTGTTTTGTGTTTCTTCCATTTGCGAATAATTGCACCAACTGTTGTCACCTTCTCACCAAGCTGCTTGGCGATGGTCTTGTAGCCCATTCCAGCCTTGTGTAGGTCTACAATCTTGTCCCTGACATCCTTGGAGAGCTCTTTGGTCTCGGCCATGGTGGAGAGTTTGGAATCTGATTGACTGATTGCTTCTGTGGACAGGTGTCTTTTATACAGGTAACAAACTGAGATTAGGAGCACTCCCTTTAAGAGTGTGCTCCTAATCTCAGCTCGTTACCTGTATAAAAGATACCTGGGAGCCAGACATCTTTCTGATTGAGAGGGGGTCAAATACTTATTTCCCTCATTAAAATGCAAATCAATTTATAACATTTTTGACATGCGTTTTTCTGGATTTTTTTGTTGTTATTCTGTCTCTCACTGTTCAAATAAACCTACCATTAAAATTATAGACTGATCATTTCTTTGTCAGTGGGCAAACATACAAAATCAGCAGGGGATCAAATACTTTTTTCCCCTCACTGTATGTATGTATATGTATATACAGTGAGGGAAAAAAGTATTTGATCCCCTGCTGATTTTGTACGTTTGCCCACTGATTTTTTTCTCTCATTTTGTCTGTCATAGTTGACGTGTACCTATGATGAAAATTACAGGCCTCTCTCATCTTTTTAAGTGGGAGAACTTGGACCATTGGTGGCTGACTAAATACTTTTTTCCCCCACTGTAAATATATAGTATTATTCTTTTTACTATTTCTCTAATATCTTTATATTTTAGAATATTCTCAGCGCCTAAAAAGCGCTTTATTACATCGTATATAAAAAGCGTTTTACAAATGTAATCCATTCTTATTGTTATTAGTGTTGATGGTTTCTAAACCTCCTGGGACTGAATGTATCAAGCTTCTACTACTCACATATACCCAGATTAATCAGTCTGTATGTATCAAGCATATCAGAGTAGAGTAGGTGTGCTGATCTAGGATGAGCTTTGCCTTTTAGATCATAATCATTATGAATAAGATGACAGGACTCTACTCTGAGATGTTTTATGAATGTGGGCCCAGAAATGAACCCAAGCCAGACACAGCAACCCAGACACCCTACTACCGCCTTAGACCCTAAACTAGAGGTCTCCAACCCTACTACTGCCTTAGACCCTAAACTAGAGGTCTCCAACCCTACTGCTGCCTTAGACAGACCCTAAACTAGAGGTCTCCAACCCTACTACTGCCTTAGACCCTAAACTAGAGGTCTCCAACCCTACTGCTGCCTTAACAGACCCTAAACTAGAGGTCTCCAACCCTACTACTGCCTTAGACAGACACCTAAACAAAAAGGTCCCAACCCTATCTCCTTAGACAGACCCTAAATAGAGGTCTCCAAACCCTACTGTCCTTAGACAACCCTAAACAGAGGTCTAAACCCTACTATGCCTTAAAGACCTAATGAGGTCTCCAACCCTATGCCCCTTAGACGACCCTAACTAGAGGTCTCCAACCCTACTATGCCTTAGACCCTAAACTAAGGTTCCAACCCTACTTCCCTTAGGACCCTAAATAAGGTCCCCAAACCCCTACCTCCTTTGACCTAAACTAATTTTCCCCAAACCCACACTGCCTTAGCCCCAAAACTAGATCTCCAACCTCCCTTTGTTTTAGACCCAAAAACTAGGGGTCCCCAACCCCTACTACTCCCTTTAGCCCCTAAAAAAGGGCTAACCCCTGCCCCAGACCTAAACAGAGGAAACGCCTAGAAAACCCTAAACTAGGGGTCCCCCACCCTACTACTGCCTTAGACCCAAACTAGAGGTCTCCAACCCACTCTCCCTTTTAGAAACCCTGACTAGGGGTCCCCAAACCCTCTACTGCCTTAGACGACCCAAACTGATCCCAACCCCTAAACTCCCTTTGACAGACCCTAAACAGAGGTCCCCAAACCCTACTTCCTTAAAAACCCCTAAACTAGAGGTCCCAACCTACGTGCCTTAGCCCCAAAAACTAAGGCCCCAAAACCCACTACTCCCTTTAGCCCCAAAACTAAGGTCCCCAACCCCTACTACTGCCTTAGACAGACCCAAAAACAGAGGTCTAAACCCCTCTCTCCCCTTGACCAAACGGGCTAAACCCTACAAAGCCTAACAGACCCAAAACTAGAGGCTCCAACCCACACTGCCTTAGACAGACCAAAACAGGGGTCCCCAACCCTACTACGCTAGACGACCCAAAACTAAGGTTCCAACCCATATCCCTTAAAGACCCAAACGAGGTCTCCAACCCTACTCGCCTTAGACGACCCAAACTAGAGGTCCCCAACCCTACACTGCCTTAGAAAACCCCTAAACAGAGTTCCCCAACCCTTGTGCCTTAGACGACCCTAACTAGAGTCCCAAACCCATACTCCCTTAACAGACCCTAAACCCCGGCTCCAACCACTACTCCCCTTAGACGGACCCTAAAATACAGGGTCTACAAACCCTCAAAACTGCCTTAGACAGCCCCCAAAACTAGAGGTCTAACCCTCTACTCCCCTTAGACAGACCCAAACTAATTTTTCCCCAAACCCTAGTGCCTTAAAGACCCAAACAGAGTCTCCAACCCTCACGCCTTAGCGACCCAAACAAAGGGGTCCCCCCCAAATGCTCTTAACAACCCTTTAAATAGATTTCCCCCACCCTATATGCCCTTAGCAGACCCCAAAAAACTAGAGGTCCCCCCAACCCTACACTGCCTTAACCCTTTTTAAACTGGGGGCCCAAACCCTACTACTCCCTTTAGCCCCTAAACAGAGGTCCCAACCACTGCTGCCCTTAAAACCCTAAACTAAAAAGGGTTTCCAACCCTACTATCCCTTAAAGACCCTAAAAAAGGTCCCCAACCCTATTTTACTCCTTAGACCCAAACTAAGGCTCCAACCCACCTCCCCTTAGCCCAAACTAGAGGTTCCACCCCTACACTCCCCTTAGACCCTAAACAAGGGGTTTTCCCAAACCCTAATGTCCCTTTAGCCCAAAACTGGGTCTCCAACCCACTATGCCTTAGACAGACCAAAAAGGCCCAACCTACTACTCCTTAGACGACCCAAACTAAAAGGTCCCCAAACCCACTGTCCCTTTAACCCTAAACTAGAGTCCCCAAACCCTAGCTCCCTTAGACAGACCCTAAAAGGGGTTCCCCAACCCCAAATGCTGCTTTAGACCCTAAACTAAGTCTCCAACCCTACACTGCCTTAGACAACCCTAAACGGGGGTTCCAAACCCACTGCGCCTTAACCCTAAACTAGAGGTCCCAACCCAATGCTGCCCCCCAATAGGGGTCCCCAAACCCCTACTATCCTTAGAAAACCCCTAAACTAGGGGTCCCAAACCTTCTACTCCCTTTAGCCCCAAAAAACTAGAGGTTTTTCCAACCTACCAAATCCTTGACAACCCTTAAACTAAGGTCTCCAACCCCTTCTAATCCCCTTGACCCAAACTAAGGCCCCAACCCTACACTGCCTTGACAGCCCAAAATAGAGGTCCCCAAACCCTTCTACTCCTTAGAAAACCCCAAACAAAAGGCCCAAACCCTTCTACTGCCTAACGACCCTAAAAAGGTCTCCAACCCTACTGCTCCTTGACCCAAAACTAGAGGCCCCAACCCTTCTACTCCCTTTAACAACCCTAACTAAGGTCCAACCCTTCTAGGCCTTTTAGCCCCTAACGAGGTCCCAAAACCCCTACTGCTGCTTTAAAGACCCAAAACTAGAGGCTCCAAACCCTACACGCCTTGCCCCTAAAAGGGTCCCCAAACCCCTCTAATGCCTTTTTAGACAACCCCAAAAACCTAAGGTCCCCAAACCCCTTTTTTACTGCCTTACCCCCTAAACGACCCCAAACCCCTACTACGTTTTAGACAGACCCTAACTAGATGTAGCCCCCCTACTGCCTGCTTATACAGACCCTAAACTCGAGGTCTCCAACCCTACTGCTTTGCCTTAGAACAGGGACCCTAACCCTAAAGTGTTCCTCCACCCGCTCTGATCCTCCTGGGGACAAAACAGAAGTTAGCAGAGCTTTAGTTCCTGCCCAGCCCAACACTAACACACTAATCAACTGGATCATCAATACCCCTTGGTTAGCGTAATCAGTTGTGCTAGTGCAAGGCTAGAACTAAAACGTGCACACCTTCGCCAGAGCCGGTAAACAACATCAACCGGTCACCTGTAACTGAGCGGCAGAGACCGGGCGCACGAGGTGCCCACCGCCCGTTCCACTCTCCATACCACGGCTAGCGAGAGCTGTTCCGGGGAAACACTACCGGTGGTTGGACCGAGAACCGGGTACAGATTGTCCCTCACGAACACGAATAGCTCCCGCAGCCACTCCCGTTCCTACAAGGGAGATATGAAGGAAAGATGTGGTGGAAGAGTAAAAATACATTATTTTGTTTGAATGTAGCTAGTAAGCTACTGTAACTAACTAAAAAACGAAAGCAGACGCAACGTAACTTACCACTTCACTCCTCTCGCTGAAGTTAGCCATAAAGGATTCCATTCTAGGTTCGTGTCGTTGATGCTGTTCTGAATCGCTTCATATCTTCACCTCAGCTACAAGACAAGTAACGTTACTAGTTGTCAATCAGCTAGTAATAAACTATCACAGACTCCCAACAAAAACCTTAAAATGATCTGAATAACAATAACAGTTGATCTAATGGCGTCCCCCACTAAATTCACAATGACACGAAATCTGCCGCCCAGCAACCAGCTCTCCGGTAGGCGGAGTTCCCTCTTTGGGACCAAATCAGGGCTGAATCGAACGCACGCTGGCCAATCAGACACGAGTCTCCGCCCATCTCAACACTAGGGTCTCCGCCCCCCTGCGTTCGAATGTGCGTATTCAGCCAACGGGGGCGCGGCCTGAGGGCTGAGGGCGGGCCTTAGCTAGAGCTCAGTCAACTACCCTCTCCCTTGAAGAAATTAAAGCGCACAGCAGCATCGACAACAACAACAAAAACAACGTGAGACAAATTCTTGCAAACTTTATCTGACCGGTAAAAGTAAGTAATGGAAGAGATTGCACGTTAGTAGTAAAATATTTTTATTTTCTTATATGTACCTAGACATGTTTTTCAAAAAAAAATGTCTACTAACGTTAGATAGGTAATGTAGCTAACTTCAGAGCGAGTCACTGTTAACGTTAGCTAGCTAGCTAACTATATTGGTAAAATGGCTTAATCTCTAGATGTAAAATATACTTGCTATAGGATTACTCATGTAACTATAATGTAAAATATGTTTCACACTAGCTAATGTTAGCTAGTTATGTATTCTGATGGCTAGCAGCGTTAGCATCTTCAGCATAAATGCTAGCGCTGGGTGGGATGAGTTAGCAGCGCGTTAGGCGGGAAGCAAATGGTGGGCCCATTGTTCTGAACGAGCTAGCATGCTAGGTGGGTAACGGCGGCAGCCGACGTTAGCTAGCTAACTAGGCTAACCTTACTGCAAACCCTATACACTCTATTCTGCACACTGCCTGGTCTGCAATCCATCACACATACTAGCCCAACTTTAGTTGCCGTTACAATAGTTAGCTAGCTAACTATCCATTTGTACTTTTTGACGACGTTTTATCCGACGTGGGGCCTAACTAGTTATCCACTTTAGCTAGATGCATGATGAATTTGCAAAAAAAAAGAAGGTTATTCTTGTCGTAAATATATATTTTCTTCCGTTTATCAGTCAGTCGTGTCGCCATGGTGAAAGGGGACGTTAACAAGCCAAAGGGCAAGACGTCAGCCTACGCCTTCTTCGTCCAGACCTGCCGTGAAGAACACAAGAGGAAACACCCCGAGCAGTCGGTCAACTTCTCAGAGTTCTCCAAGCAGTGTTCCGAGAGATGGAGGGTACATGTTAATACACACACGTTAGACATGGACACCTGAGACACATCACAAGGTGTTATACCACTGTCTTTTATATAGGTGTTACAATAATTGTGTGTGTGTGTGTGTAATAAAGTTATAATGTAGAGTGTAATAAGTGTGTTATAACTGTGTAGGCTCTGACTGCGAATGATAAGCGTCGTTTTGAGGATATGGCGAAGAACGACAAGGTGCGTTATGAGAGGGACATGAGGGGGTACGTCCCCCCCAAGGGGATGGCCAAGAGTGGTAGGAAGAAGAAGGACCCCAACGCTCCCAAACGACCCCCGTGAGTCACACACACCTCCTACTGTACACACAGACTATGGGGTGTACATAAACTACATGACCAAAAGTATGTGGACACCTGCTCATCGAACATCTGATTCCAAAATCATGGGCATTAATATGGAGTTGGTCCCCCCTTTGCTGCTATAACAGCCTCCATTCTTCTGGGAAGGCTTCCCACTGTTGGTACATTGCTGCAGGGGACTAGTGTGGTCGGGGCACTGATGTTGGGCGATTAGGCCTGGCTCGCAGTCGGCGTTCCAATTCATTCCAAAGGTGTTCGATGGGGTTGAGGTCAGGACTCTGTGCAGGCCAGTCAAGTTCTTCCACACTGATCTCGACAAACCATTTCTGAATTGACCTCCCTTTGTACACGGGGGCATTGTCATGCTGAAACAGGAAAGGTCCTTCCCCAAACTGTTGCCACAAAGTTAAGCACAGAGTCGTCTAGAATGTCATTGTATGCTGTAGCGTTAAGATTTCCCTTCACTGGAACTAAGGGGCCTAACCCGAACCATGAAAAACAGCTCCAGACCATTATTCCTCCTCCCATCAAACTTTACAGTTGGCACTATGCATTGGGGCAGGTAGCATTCTCCTGGCATCCGTCAAACCCAGATTCGTCCGTCGGGCTGCCAGGTGGAGAAGCGTGATTCATCACTCCAGAGAACACGTTTCCACTGCTCCAGAGTCCAATGGCGGCGAGCTTTACACCACTCCAGCCTACGCTTGGCATTGTGCATGGTGATCTTAGGCTTGTGTGCGGCTGCTCGGCCATGGAAACCCATTTCATGAAGCTCCCGACAAATAGTTATTGTGCTGATGTTGCTTCCAAAGGCAGTTTGGAACTCGGTAGTGAGTGTTGCAACCGAGGACAGACGATTTTACCACTTCACAATAACAGCAATTACAGTTGACCTGGGGCAGAAATTTGACTAACTGACTTGTTGGAAAGGTGGCATCCTATGACGGTGCCACGTTGAAAGTCACTGAGCTTTTCAGTAAGGCTGTTCTACTGCCAATGTTTGTCTGTGGAGATTGCATGGAGGTGTGCTCGATTTTATACACCCGTCAGCAACGGGTGTGGCTGCAATAGCCAAATCCACTAATTTGAAGGGGTGTCCACATACTTTTGTGTGTGTGTGTGTGTGTGTTCTAAACATGTATCACATACACACTGGACTATTTACACGCACACACATGACCTGCTTCCCTCTAACCCTCCATCACACATGACCTGCTTCCTCTAACCCTCCATCACACATGACCTGCTTCCCTCTAACCCTCCATCACACATGACCTGCTTCCCTCTAACCCTCCTCCCTCCATCACACATGACCTGCTTCCCTCTAACCCTCCATCACACATGACCTGCTTCCCTCTAACCCTCCATCACACATGACCTGCTTCCCTCTAACCCTCCATCACACATGACCTGCTTCCCTCTAACCCTCCATCACACATGACCTGCTTCCTCTAACCCCCTCAACCCCTCCATCACACATGACCTGCTTCCCTCTAACCCTCCATCACACATGACCTGCTTCCCTCTAACCCTCCATCACACATGACCTGCTTCCCTCTAACCCTCCCCTCAACACATGACCTGCTTCCCTCTAACCCTCATCACACATGACCTGCTTCCCTCTAACCCGCCTCCTCATCACACATGACCTGTTTCCCTCTAACCCTCCTCCCTCCATCACACATGACCTGTTTCCTCTACCCCAACCCTCCCTCCTCCATCACACATGACCTGTTTCCCTCTAACCCTCCATCACACATGACCTGCTTCCCTCTAACCCTCCTCCCTCCATCACACATGACCTGTTTCCCTCTAACCCTCCATCACACATGACCTGCTTCCCTCTAACCCTCCTCCCTCCATCACACATGACCTGCTTCCCTCTAACCCTCCATCACACATGACCTGCTTCCCTCTAACCCTCCTCCCTCCATCAACACATGACCTGCTTCCCTCTAACCCTCCATCACACATGACCTGCTTCCCTCCCTCCACCATGACCTCTCCCCTCCCTCCATCACACATGACCTGCTTCCCTCTAACCCCCTCCATCACACATGACCTGGCTTCCCTCTAACCCTCCTCCTCCATCACACATGACCTGTTTCCCTCTAACCTCCTCCTCCATCACACATGACCTGTTTCCCTCTAAACCCTCCATCACACATGACCTGTTTCTCTCTAACCCTCCTCCCTCCATCACACATGACCTGTTTCTCTCTAACCCTCCTCCCTCCATCACACATGACCTGCTTTCCTCTCTAACCCTCCATCACACATGACCTGTCTTCCCTCTAACCCTCCTCCCTCCATCACACATGACCTGTTCCCTCTAACCCTCCATCACACATGACCTGCTTCCCTCTAACCCTCCTCCCTCCATCACACATGACCTGCTTCCCTCTAACCCTCCCATCACACATGACCTGCTTCCTCTCTAACCCTCCTCCCTCCATCACACATGACCTGCTTTCCCTCTAACCTCCTCCTCCATCACACATACCTGTTCTCTACCTCTCCCTCCTCAACAGACCTGCTTTCCTCAACCCTCCATCACACATGACCTGCTTCCCTCTAACCCTCCATCACACATGACCTGCTTCCTCTAACCCTCCTCCCTCCATCACACATGACCTGCTTCCCTCTAACCCTCCATCACACATGACCTGCTTCCCTCTAACCCTCCATCACACATGACCTGCTTCCCTCTAACCCTCCATCACACATGACCTGCTTCCCTCTAACCCTCCTCCCTCCATCACACATGACCTGCTTCCCTCTAACCCTCCTCCCTCCATCACACATGACCTGTTTCTCTCTAACCCTCCTCCCTCCATCACACATGACCTGCTTCCCTCTAACCCTCCATCACACATGACCTGCTTCCCTCTAACCCCTCCATCACACATGACCTGCTTTCCCTCTAACCCTCCATCACACATGACCTGCTTCCCTCTAACCCTCCTCCATCACCATGACCTGCTTCCCTCCTCCCTCCATGACCTGCTTCCCTCCTCCCTCCATCACACATGACCTGCTTCCCTCAACCCTCCATCCCATGACCTGCTTCCCTCTAACTCCTCCATGACCGCTTCTCAACTCCTCACACCATGACCTGTTTCCCTCTAACCCTCCTCCCTCCATGACCTGCTTCCCTTGACCTCTCTCCTCCCTCATATCCCTCAACCCTCCCTCCATGACCTGCTTCCCTCCTCCCTCCTCCCTCCATGACCTGTTTCTCTCTAACCCTCCTCCCTCCCTCTATCCATCAGGTCTGCCTTCTTTGTGTTCTCTGCAGAGTTCCGTCCTACGGTCAAACAGGAGTTCCCAGGTACACTGATGATGATTATGATGATAGTATTACTAACAGGAGGTCCCAGGTACACTGATGATGATGATATGATGATAGTATTACTAACAGGAGGTCCCAGGTACACTGATGATGATTATGATGATAGTATTACTAACAGGAGGTCCCAGGTACACTGATGATGATGATGAGATAGTTTACCTAACAGGAGGTTCCCAGGTACACTGATATGATTGATGATAGATTATAACAGAGGTCCCAGTACACTATGATGATAGTATTCCTAACAGGAGGTCCCAGGTACACCTGATGATGATTATGATGATAGTATTACTAACAGGAGGTCCCAGGTACACTGATGATGATGATGATGATAGTATTCTTAACAGGAGGTCCCAGGTACACTGATGATGATTATGATGATAGTATTCCTAACAGGAGGTCCCAGGTACACTAATGATGATGATTATGATGATAGTATTACTAACAGGAGTTCCCAGGTACACTAATGATGATTATGATGATAGTATTACTAACAGGAGGTCCCAGGTACACTGATGATGATGATTATGATGATAGTATTCCTAACAGGAGGTCCCAGGTACACTGATGATGATGATAGTATTACTAACAGGAGGTCCCAGGTACACTGATGATGATAGTATTACTAACAGGAGGTCCCAGGTACACTGATGATGATAGTATTCCTAACAGGAGGTCCCAGGTACACTGATGATGATAGTATTATTGATATGTGGTTACTATAGTAATAGAATGTGGAATGTATACAGTGGTTTGTCTCCACATACCAACCCTTTCGTCAGGCCAATATTGTACTATTATCTGTCCATACAGATAGTCACGGTATATTTTGCATCCCTAGTAATATGTGATGTATTGTCTCCAGGCTGCTCCACAATGGAATAGTACTGGATACACTACATGATCAAAGGTATGTGGACACCTGCTCATCGAACATCTCATTCCAAAATCAATTAATATTGAGTTGGTCCCCCCCTTTGCTGCTACAACAGCCTCCACTCTTCTGGGAAGGCTTTCCACTAGATGTTGGAACATTGCTGCAGGGACTTGCTTCCATTCAGCCACAAGCATTAGTGAGGTCGGGCAGTGATGTTGGGCGATTAGGCCTGGCTCGCAGTCGGCGTCCGAATTCATCCCAAAGGTGTTCGATGGGGTTGAGGTCAGGACTCTGTGCAGACCAGTCAAGTTCTTCCACACCGATCTCGACAAACCATTTTTGTATGGAGCTTTGTGCACGGGGGCATTGTCATGCTGAAACAGGGAAGGGCCTTCCCCAAACTGTTGCCACAAAGTTGGCAGCACAGAAGTAGTTGTATGCTGTATCGTTAAGATTTCTCTTCACTAGAACTAAGGGTCATAGCCCGAACCATGAAAAACAGCCCCAGACCATTATTCCTCCTCCACCAAACATTACAGTTGGCACTATGCATTCGGGCAGGTAGCGTTCTGCTGGCATCCGCCAAACCCAGATTTGTCCGTCGGACTGCCAGATGGTGAAGCGTGATTCATCACTCCAGAGAACGCGTTTCCACTGCTCCAGAGTCCAATGGCGGTGAGCTTTACACCACTCCAGCCTACACTTGGCATTGCGCATGGTGATCTTAGGTTTGTGTGCGGCTGCTCGGCCATGGAAACCCATTTCATGAAGCTCCCGACGAACAGTTCTTGTGCTGACGTTGCTTCCATTTTTACGCTCTTCAGCACTCGGCGGTCCCGTTCTGTGAGCTTGTGTGGCCTACCACTTCGTGGCTGAGCCGTTGTTGCTCCTAGACGTTTCCACTTCACAAGAAAAGCACTTACAGTTGACCGGGGCAGGTCTAGCAGGGCAGAAATTTGATGAACTGACGTGTTGGAAAGGTGGCATCCTATGACGGTGCCACGTTGTAAGTCACAGCTCTTCAGTAAGGCCATTCTACTGCCAATGTTTGTCTATGGAGATTGCATTGCGGTGTGCTAGAATTTATGCACCGGTCAGCAACGGGTGTGGCTGAAATGGCCAAACCCGCTAATTTGAAGGGGTGTCCACGTACTTTTGTGTGTGTATATGTACACTACCAGTCAAAAGTTTGGACACACCTACTCATTCAAGGGTTTTTCTTTATTATTATTATTATTATTTTTTGTACATTTGTAGAATAATAGTGAAGACATCAACACTATGAAATAACACGTATGGAAACATGTAGTTGCCAAGAAAGTGTTAAACAAATCAAAATATATTTCATATTTGAGATTCTTCAAATAGCCACCCTTTGCCTTGATGACAGCTTTGCACACTCTTGGCATTCTCTCAACCAGCTTCACCTGGAATGCTTTTCCAACAGTCTTGAAGGAGTTCCCACATATGCTGAGCACTTATTGGCTGCTTTTCCTTCACTCTGCGGTCCAACTCATCCCGAGGTCGTGGGATTGTGGAGGTCATCTGATGCAACACTCCATCACTCTCCTTCTTGGTTAAATAACCCTTACACAGCCTGGAGGTGTGTTTTGGGTCATTGACCTGTTGGGGGAAAAATTATAATCCCACTAAGCCCAAACCAGATGGGATGGCGTATCACTGCAGAATGCTGTGGTAGCCATGCTGGTTAAGTGTGCCTTGAATTCTAAATACATCACAGACAGTGTCACCAGCAAAGCACCCCCACACCATAACACCTCCTCCTCCATGCTTTACGGTGGGAAATACACATGCAGAGATCATCTGTTCACCCACACCGTGTCTCACAAAGACAAGGCGGTTGGAACCAAAAATATCCAAATTTGGACTCCAGACCAAAGGACACATTTCCACCGGTCTAATGTCCATTGCTCGTGTTTCTTGGCCCAAGCAAGTCTCTTCTTCTTATTGGTGTCCTTTAGTAGTGGTTTCTTTGCAGCAATTTGACCATGAAGGCCTGATTCACACAGTCCCCTCTGAACAGTTGATGTTGAGATGTATCTGTGACTTGAACTCTGAAGCATTTATTTGGGCTGCAATTTCTGATGCTGGTAACTCTAATGAACTTATCCTCTGCAGCAGAGGTAACTCTGGGTCTTCCATTCCTGTGGTGGTCCTCATGAGAGCCAGTTTCATCATCGCGCTTGATGGTTTTTGCGACTGCACTTGAAGAAACTTTCAAAGTTCTTGAAATGTTCTGTATTGACTGACCTTCATGTCTTAAAGTAATGATGGACTGTTGTTTCTCTTTGCTTATTTGAGCTGTTGTTGCCATAATATGGACTTGGTCTTTTACCAAATAGGGCTATCTTCTGTATACCCCCCCTACCTTGTCACAACACAACTGATTAGCTCAAACGCATTAAGAAAGAAAGATATTCCACAAATTAACTTTTAAGAAGGCACACCTGTTAATTGAAATAAATTCCAGGTGACTACCTCATGAAGCTGGTTGAGAGAATGCTTAGTGTGTGCAAAGCTGTCATCAAGGCAAATGGTGGCTACTTTGAAGAATCTCAAATATATTTTGACTTGTTTAACGCTGTTTTGGTTACTACATGATTCCATATGTGTTATTTCATAGTTTTGATGTCTTCACTATTATTCTACAATGTAGAAAATAGTAAAAAATAAAGAAAAACCCTTGAATGAGTAGGTGTCCAAACTTTTGACTGGTTGTATGTGTGTGTATATATATATATATATATATATATATATATATATATATATATAAATTAATTATTGTCTCCAGGCTGTTCTAAAGGACAATTTATTAGTAGTAGTGTGTGTGTATGTATGTATGTACAGTGGGGGGAAAAGTATTTAGTCAGCCACCAATTGTGCAAGTTCTCCCATTTAAAAAGATGAGAGAGGCCTGTAATTTCCATCATAGGTACACGTCAACTATGACATGCAAAATGAGAAAAAAAATCCAGAAAATCACATTGTAGGATTTGTAATGAATTTATTTGCAAATTATGGTGGAAAATAAGTATTTGGTCAATAACAAAAGTTTCTCAATACTTTGTTATATACCCTTTGTTGGCAATGACACAGGTCAAACGTTTTCTGTAAGTCTTCACAAGGTTTTCACACACTGTTGCTGGTATTTTGGCCCATTCCTCCATGCAGATCTCCTCTAGAGCAGTGATGTTTTGGGGCTGTCGCTGGGCAACACAGACTTTCAACTCCCTCCAAAGATTTTCTATGGGGTTGAGATCTGGAGACTGGCTAGGCCACTCCAGGACCTTGAAATGCTTCTTACGAAGCCACTCCTTCGTTGCCCGGGCGGTGTGTTTGGGATCATTGTCATGCTGAAAGACCCAGCCACGTTTCATCTTCAATGCCCTTGCTGATGGAAGGAGGTTTTCACTCAAAATCTCACGATACATGGCCCCATTCATTCTTTCCTTTACACGGATCAGTCGTCCTGGTCCCTTTGCAGAAAAACAGCCCCAAAGCATGATGTTTCCACCCCCATGCTTCACAGTAGGTATGGTGTTCTTTGGATGCAACTCAGCATTCTTTGTCTTCCAAACACGACGAGTTGAGTTTTTACCAAAAAGTTATATTTTGGTTTCATCTGACCATATGACACTCTCCCAATCCTCTTCTGGATCATCCAAATGCACTCTAGCAAACTTCAGACGGGCCTGGACATGTACTGGCTTAAGCAGGGGGACACATCTTGCACTGCAGGATTTGAGTCCCTGGCGGCGTAGTGTGTTACTGATGGTAGGCTTTGTTACTTTGGTCCCAGCTCTCTGCAGGTCATTCACTAGGTCCCCCCGTGTGGTTCTGGGATTTTTGCTCACCGTTCTTGTGATCATTTTGAACCCCACGGGGTGAGATCTTGCGTGGAGCCCCAGATCGAGGGAGATTATCAGTGGTCTTGTATGTCTTCCATTTCCTAATAATTGCTCCCACAGTTGATTTCTTCAAACCAAGCTGCTTACCTATTGCAGATTCAGTCTTCCCAGCCTGGTGCAGGTCTACAATTTTGTTTGACAGCTCTTTGGTCTTGGCCATAGTGGAGTTTGGAGTGTGACTGTTTGAGGTTGTGGACAGGTGTCTTTTATACTGATAACAAGTTCAAACAGGTGCCATTAATACAGGTAACGAGTGGAGGACAGAGGAGCCTCTTAAAGAAGAAGTTACAGGTCTGTGAGAGCCAGAAATCTTGCTTGTTTGTAGGTGACCAAATACTTATTTTCCAC